GATCTCCCCACCAATTTGTTAAAATGCAAGTAAAATGGAATGACAGATACATTGTCAATATTTAGTCTGTTTTGCTTTTGTGGTTTGTATTTCGCAAGTTGGGTGACAATTTACTACCATTTACTTAGGGTCACTAATAACTTTGTACAGTATCTCCTGATTTTGTAAAGCCAATGGGGTGTTTATATCAGGTAGGGGAGAACATCTGCCCATCTCCCTTAAAAAATATGCAGTTGTTTTTGGTTTAATTATTAAATAAAATATCCGCACCGGTGATGGAGAATTAAAGCTCGTGAAGGGATTGAAGTGTAACGAGAATATACCCCTACACGCAGGATCCAGCTAAACAGAGGCAAATACAGAGGAGAGATACGTCTACCGGACCTTAGAATGGCCGGACTCGACGTATATGAGAGGAGACAGAGCCAGGAACAAACCGAGGTCAAGGGCACAGAGAGACAGCGTAAACTAGGACAAGCCGGGTCTGGTACACGGAAAACAGCAAGCCGGCAAACAGTACAGATAAGGATAAAGCGAAAACGAAGTCAGAATACGAAGCCAAAGTCAATACGAGAGAACACAACTGAACACCACAAGCGCTAAAGGGAACTGAAACAGAAACCACGATAGGGCAACGAGCTAAGGGAAAAAGGTAAGTTAAATAGCTTTTAAACCAAAGTGATTGGCTCCTGTCACTTCCACACCCCCTATAGGTAATTGTATAGGGAGTGTGGTATGACAGGAGCCAATGGGAGCCTTCTGGCAATTAGGCTCCCACTGTCTCTTTAAGAGCGCGCCCGAGACTCGCGGCGCGCTCTTAGTTTCAGGCGGGACACGTGACCGCTTCACGCGGGACACGTGACCGCTTCACGCGGTCACTGCCCGCCTTCCATCTGAAGCAGTCAGATGAGCCGCGCGCGGCTCGTGCAGCCGCAGGACCGCGCGCGGCTTGAAGAGAGGACCGCGACCGGCCCCCGGTTAAGGTAAGTAACGCTACATGAAGTTCCTGAATGAATTCTTTCTATTACACTACTGTAAAAATGTTCCTGATAGAAAATGTACAAATTGGTTGTATTGTGCTACTGCATATGACTTCATGTGTCGCCTACTGTATGGTGACTGCCATTTTAAAATAAAGTATTTTTCAAAAAAATTTAATAAAATATGCAGTTTTGTATTGCTTTATACACACTTCACAGTTTTATTTCATTTGATATTTAAATTTTACAGATTGAAGTAATTCATATTAATTATATAATAATATTAATAATACAGTTTATTAAAAAATGAGTAGTACCAGTTATATTCTGGCACATGAAAGGTCCAGTGGGAACCAACATATTGTCTTCTGTTGGTGATCTAATGTGTACCTCCTTACCCACACTCTAAATAAAACCAGTTAAAATTGTGATACACGTGTGAAGTAGAGACTAAATAACATGCAAATGAAATATGATTTTACCCTTTTATTAAAAAATATCTCCGGGGTATACACCGTAAACTTGAAAAGAAATAGAAACAAACAAAAAGTGCAGATGGTACTTTTAAATGTTTAGAATATATTTTTAATTGGATCCACTCACATGGGTTAGAGCCCAGAGAAAGCATTAGCTCAGTAGGGAGCCCTTTTGTGCTTTCAAGGCAGCCTCCCATCTCCTATCAGATAGGATTCCAAATTCAAGGAACGCGAGATATAAAAAGGACTTCCAATAGTTTAATATGCATAAAACATAAACCTTAGCAATAACCAATTGGTCAGGCTCAGCTTTTATAGAGCCCTTATATCCTGGCTCTAAGAATATAGGGCCTGGCAATAACCCAATGATCGCCTCTGGAGTTAAAGATCAAAAAGGACCACAACGGGTACCAGGTAGGTAAAAAGTTATTATACCAGGTAAAATTTTAAAACAATAAACTGCTATTTAGCAAAATATTTAAAAATAAATCATTCACTTAAGCAGTAAAGTCCATATGGTAAAGCCAATATGCATTTCACTTGATCAGAGCTTCCTCTGTCGGCTATGTTATCATCTCATATTTAAATGTGTGCGCCGGGCTTTCTCTTCGGTCACCTGGGGTCATTCCAGCCAATCATGTGCGTCCTTAAATGTCCCGCCCATCTTCCTTGGTGCTGTGCATTTTCTATGATGAAGGGGCGTATTGTCCTTTTATTGTTTGTGTCTATACCCTATTATTATTTTCACAGTAATGTTATATTAAATTTCATTAAATGTTTCTCCCCCCTCCCTGCTTCTAACCTGGTTCAGGGAGGGGGGAGATTCCATTCCCTGGTGGTCCGGTGGCAAGGGGGGCCTCCCCGGCTCCCTGTTACTGCTTCTGCACATTCAGTTCATTTCTTCCAATAACTCTCGCGGAGTGTTGCCATGGTAACCCCTGGCAACGCTCAGAAGGCCGCAGGTCTCGCGAGAATTATTGGAAGAAATGAACTGAATATGCAGAAGCAGTGTGCTGGGCCCCCTCTGCAGTAACAGGGAGCCAGGGGCCCACAGCTGCACACATAGATATTGATATTCGCTATCTATGTGTGCAGAGAGGGAATGTGGGGCCCCCCAGGACCGCCAGGACCGTGACAACCGTCATGGTTGCCACCCCCTGATGGCGACCCTGTACATAGTTATATATTTATATTAACTATTAAAATAAAGTTAATAATAATAATAATAAAGTTGCAATTTGTAAGTGTCCATAATAATATACATCGATAATAGATTTACATCCATAATAGTAGCTAGTTTTGAATGTGCAGAAGATGTGTCTGTGGGGGTTTATAACTTCCCTTAAAATAATAATGTAATATTTATTATGTAATGATGATCCCATCTGCTGGCTTTTTATTTTTTTTAATTTTTTTTACTTTCTTGTGGCCAGTCGCCACATGTTTAACTTTCGCAGCGCTGAGGGTTATTCAATTATTTGCACTCTAGCTTCTAGTGGGCAAATACAGGGAGTGCAGAATTATTAGGCAAATGAGTATTTTGACCACATCATCCTCTATATGCATGTTGTCTTACTCCAAGCTGTATAGGCTCGAAAGCCTACTACCAATTAAGCATATTAGGTGATGTGCATCTCTGTAATGAAAAGGGGTGTGGTCTAATGACATCAACACCCTATATCAGGTGTGCATAATTATTAGGCAACTTCCTTTCCTTTGGCAAAATGGGTCAAAAGAAGGACTTGACAGGCTCAGAAAAGTCAAAATAGTGAGATATCTTGCAGAGGGATGCAGCACTCTTAAAATTGCAAAGCTTCTGAAGCGTGATCATCGAACAATCAAGCATTTCATTCAAAATAGTCAACAGGGTCGCAAGAAGCGTGTGGAAAAACCAAGGCGCAAAAAAACTGCCCATGAACTGAGAAAAGTCAAGCGTGCAGCTGCCACGATGCCACTTGCCACCAGTTTGGCCATATTTCAGAGCTGCAACATCACTGGAGTGCCCAAAAGCACAAGGTGTGTAATACTCAGAGACATGGCCAAGGTAAGAAAGGCTGAAAGACGACCACCACTGAACAAGACACACAAGCTGAAACGTCAAGACTGGGCCAAGAAATATCTCAAGACTGATTTTCTAAGGTTTTATGGACTGATGAAATGAGAGTGAGTCTTGATGGGCCAGATGGATGGGCCCGTGGCTGGATTGGTAAAGGGCAGAGAGCTCCAGTCCAACTCAGACGCCAGCAAGGTGGAGGTGGAGTACTGGTTTGGGCTGGTATCATCAAAAATGAGCTTGTGGGGCCTTTTCGGGTTGAGGATGGAGTCAAGCTCAACTCCCAGTCCTACTGCCAGTTCCTGAAGACACCTTCTTCAAGCAGTGGTACAGGAAGAAGTCTGCATCCTTCAAGAAAAACATGATTTTCATGCAGGACAATGCTCCATCACACGCGTCCAAGTACTCCACAGCGTGGCTGGCAAGAAAGGGTATAAAAGAAGAAAATCTAATGACATGGCCTCCTTGTTCACCTGATCTGAACCCCATTGAGAACCTGTGGTCCATCATCAAATGTGAGATTTACAAGGAGGGAAAACAGTACACCTCTCTGAACAGTGTCTGGGAGGCTGTGGTTGCTGCTGCACGCAATGTTGATGGTGAACAGATCAAAACACTGACAGAATCCATGGATGGCAGGCTTTTGAGTGTCCTTGCAAAGAAAGGTGGCTATATTGGTCACTGATTTGTTTTTGTTTTGTTTTTGAATGTCAGAAATGTATATTTGTGAATGTTGAGATGTTATATTGGTTTCACTGGTAATAATAAATAATTGAAATGGGTATATATTTGTTTTTTGTTAAGTTGCCTAATAATTATGCACAGTAATAGTCACCTGCACACACAGATATCCCCCTAACATAGCTAAAACTAAAAACAAACTAAAAACTACTTCCAAAAATATTCAGCTTTGATATTAATGAGTTTTTTGGGTTCATTGAGAACATGGTTGTTGTTCAATAATAAAATTAATCCTCAAAAATACAACTTGCCTAATAATTCTGCACTCCCTGTAGTTTGGATTTGTGAAATCCGGGTCCAAATGTGAAGCACTCAGGTCAGAATTTCCATCGTCTCTAGTGTATTTTCAAGGCCATTGTAGTTTTGTTAGAGGGTAATGGTGCCACTTACTTAACGTTTCAGGATTTTCCTTAGTGTCAATATCTTTAGCGCACCTGTTTGTTTATGGTGAGAGCAGGCAATTGAATTATTATGTGGTCCCTTTTGAGGGTGTTCTTTAATCAGAAGTATAATTCTTTCTTACTATGAAAGCGAACTCTATGGAGGCTCAATGTTCTAGACAGCCCAGCCTCGTTCTCTGATATTTGTTTCTGTGTTTCACAAACATTAACATAAAAACTAATTTTGTTCATGCATTTTTACGCTGCATAAGAATACAGTAACATAGTTTCATGTTGCAAACATTTTTTGTTTATTCAACAGTCTTTTGATCTTTTCTGGTAACTATAAATGTGGTCCGCGTCGGCTTTCCCTTTGCTAAAAATTCCAGCTTGATCTCATATAACAACATGGATTGTACAGTGGTTTAATAAATAAAGACCATTCGGTGAGGACGTAAATGAAGCACATTGTAACAATAAAGGAACGTCCCAGTCTGAGCCAGCAGTCAATATTGTTTACAGCAATGTAATTAGATTGCCTTGATGTGCTTTTCTTTGCAAACATATTAAGGAAATACAAACATTTAAACACACGCAATTTAAGTATCTTTCCAGAATTTAGCATTTTCGAAAAATCTAAAAACCTGTATGGATCTAATTCTACTTACAATAATTCTATTTCAAGTTAAAGTTAAATAATATTATGAAAAAAAAAATTCAGGATATATTACGTAGTACGGCTGTACAGTAAACTGAGTATTATGAAAAACGGTTAAGGGAATTAAATAATTTACGCCAGAATTGTTAAAAACATTTTCAACTCTTGGCTTTAATCAATTAGCCTTATAACAGGTGTCCATGGAATGTTGTCCCTACAAAGTACTTACTTACAGTACCTGATCAGGAATCTGTGGCTCATGAAAGATCTCAATGTTCAAATGCTTATTGTTTCTGTTCTAATCTCCTGTTGATCTTCTGTTGATTTAACCCCTGCAGTACCTCATCCTCACTGTTTCATGTACTGTTCATTTCTATTTTCCCTTGTTTCATGTGTATTATTAATAAAATGGTTTTGACTAGTCACTCGGAACGTTTCACCTTTCAAATATTAATAAGATGTAAATAATGCATGCCAGAGCAAGTATTATAATTAATATTTTATCCTTCAGCGACATACCATGTGTGAAAGCGATAATAAGAAAATAGG